ATATAATGTGTTATCGTCACTGTGTTCTCATCCTCTCGGTTTGTCAAGTCATTATTCAAAAAAAAGACTTGTCAAATGCTGATACTAGATTGTTTTGTGTTTAATGAAGTACTGGACATGTATCCTCTCAGTCGCAAACCTAGGTAGATATTACGAGAGTCTTCCTGGTGGTTAAATTGAAGCAAAATCCAAACTCATACCAGTTGAGCCTAATATTCACATCGTTGACATGGAACCACATCTCTTCTACTTTAGCCCCTGACTAGTTATCTGTCTTGGTAGAAAAAATTGGGTAAGCACCATGTTGAGTCTAGAGGTATTGAAGTCCTAGAATTGTTCGAAACAAGTTTCTTGGAATAATTCTCACCCTAGTGGGCTAAAGCTTGTTCTATAGTAACCTCATTGCATATTTGTGGCTACGAACAATCAACACATCACTGTAATGTGTATTAAACGGGTACTTATAGAGTATTACGTTCTCCTTTTCTTCCTCTTCTTATTTCCAATAATTTCCTATTTGTCTCTATAAATTCACACGACCATAAGTTCAATTAGTAAGTGAAAATTGCATTAAAATGCATTTAGCATATATTTAAGTAACTGTAATTTCGTGTGTTATTTGCTCTAACTGATCTTAGACAAATTTCACTTCATGCTTTGTTAATTCAATTTGTGTAAAAATCACGCTATCTGCATTTTTGCTAATGTCGATTTGTGTAAACCCAAATACACTTGGTGTGAATTTCATGTCAAGTGCATTTTTGCTATTGTCAATTCGCATATATCACTATCAAAGTATCACCCATTTTGCATGAACTTCACACTAATAGGGTAACAAATATGCAAACTCGTTGAAACATCAAATTCCTCACAAATCAGCCAAAATAAACAATGACACTTCTAATGTACTCAATAATTAATCAACATATCCACCATAACAATATCTTATAGAATCATCATATTACTAAAAAAATCACACATAAACAATATTGGATGTATGGGCCAAAAATTGTCTTGGGCCTTATCAGGCCCAAACAGGTATTTTCTACCATGAAAGCCCAAAGTCGTGGTCCAATTTCGGTTGGGCCTACGTCAGAATTCATGTCATGGGCTGAGCACACGGCCTAAGCTCAAACCCTCTCCAGATTGGGCATCACCATTAACCCACCTAAGGCCAAACTTGTTGGTCCAAGATGATTAGGACTCTTCCTACTTGGGTTCTATCCTAATTTGCCCAAGATCTCGTATCTTATGTGAATTAGGACTCTTAATCCTACAAAGGCAAGCAAATCAGGATCTTTTCCTATTCATTAAACCTCTACCACTATGGATTCAAAGTCTTACTAGGATACAAAGATCATATAACTGCTATATAAACAGGGGTCACTCCTCTCTTTAAGCATTCTATCTCCACTAAAATCACCTACTTGCTCCTAAGTTCTTGCTCCCGAGAACTTGACGCCTTCACCGTAGTCCTGGTCTCCGACAAAACTCCCGGTAATCCTTCTTTCCCTTAATTCTTATTAAATAATCTCTTTCAACATTGTTGACTTGAGAGTCAGAGTGCCTAAGGGAAATACCACCCCGAAGTTTCCCGTAAACTTCACGCTCGTCTCTTCATGTGTGCAGGTCCAGCAGATTGTCAATGACCTCAACCTCATAGGATTAGACCATATTTTCGTAACCATAGATTTTTTGCATCTATAGTTTGGCGCCTACCGTGGGGCCTCTAGCAATCAACTCTCGTTGAAATCACAAACACTGCCTCAACAGACCTAGCGACTAAGGTTGAGGCTCTCTCGGCACTAATGCGACAACAGGTCGACAAGATCAAAACACTGGAAGCTGAAAATAACAACATCCGAGCCAAGAATCAAAGCCTACGGGAGAAGGTAACTCAATTCTATTCTCTTGACTTCCCATTTAATCAAATACTGGAGAACCGTTTCCGCGTCCCGGTAAACTCCATGCAACCACTCATGACCCCAGGCCCCATATCCTCAGCCTCAGATCCATAGTCTTCCCAACTCCAGTCATCCATAACGGATGGCTTGGCACCCAACATTACTGACGTAGCAAGCCTAGCATGCAAACATGACCCCAATCAGCTAATCCCTTAATCACCCGTGACTAGCTCACTCAAGCCATCCCTAGTAATCAGCAAAAAAAACATCAAAATCGACCATCCCATTAGTATGAATGACCCACACTACATCCAAGACCTTTCTAGCTTGGCTTTTCCCCATGGGTCAAGCACTCACCCCTACCAAACACCGCTTGAATCGGCTCACCCTCATGGGTCGAGCGGCCCCTAGGTCGCACCTTTAACCATCCATGCCGACAGAACCACCTGAACCATTACACTCGAGATGACTCATCCTGAAAGGATGAATGGGGCCCTAAACACACAAAACATTAGCCACCAAGCTACCCACAGTTACTCAGCTTGCTCTACCATACCGAGTGACAGAAATACCCATCCCCAAATCGTCAATCTAGACTTGCTATTTATCGCCACTCCCCTTGAACAAACATTAGGAAAAAAGTTGGCCGACATAGAAGTTATGATGAGACGCATATCCGAAGTCCATACACCGACCAAGAAAAGTCTTCCCTATAGTTATGCCAACTCACCCTTCGTTGACTCCATAGCCTTAACTGAGCTGCCTCAAAAGATTTCTCAATTCCAAACATGAAACCCTATGATGGTACAATCGACCCAGATGATCACATTGCCTCTTACAAATAGAGGACGTTTGCCATTTCCATACCACGGGATCTCAGGGAAGCATGTATGTGCAAGAGCTTTGGTTCTAGCCTATTAAGGCCCATTCTTCAATGGTATACAAATCTCCCCAACAATTACATAGACTCATTTGCCTAACTCACTGACACGTTCGTTGAGCAGTTTGCAAGCAGCAAGAAACTTGAGAAGCTGTCAGCCAACCTCTATAGGATCTATCAGAAGAGAGGAGAGTCGTTGTAGAATACGTCTGTCGATTCAATAAGGAGGAGATATATATCCCTTCTTACAATCTTAAATTAACAGTGGAGGCTTTCAGGAAAGAGCTACTCCTAGATGGGAAACTTTACAAAGATCTCACCAAACTGGGCTACAATACCATGGAGGACACTTTGGCCTAAGCAATCATTTAGATAAGATGAGAGGAAGATGAGGCAAATTGTAGAAGGTACATACCCTACGATGATCGCCGACAGAGCTGAAGCGACAGAAGCCCAAAAGCTCGCCAATATGAAACAAACCGCCCACCTCCAACAGAAGTAATCAGAAACTATATGACCGCCCTCCAACTCGGCCTGCATATGGACCCTCTAGTTCTTCTTCATTAGTGGTCCTTGAGTATAATCTTAATGTTAAGCCGACCTAAGTGGTAGCAATAATAAAAGGGATGGGTTAGATAGTCGAGTTGCCACCCAAGCTTAGACCCAATGTTAAAAGGGACATGACCAACTAGTGCGAGTTCCACCATGATCATGGGCACAATACAACCAACTGTATCGCTTTGAGGTTGGAGGTTACAGCCTTACTTAAAAGAGGACATCTTCGAGACTTGTTGATAGACAAGGGTAAGAGCACCATGAAAAACAGGGATGAGAAAAACCGGTCCTCCTCTCTCCTAAATCCAAAGCCAGAAGGTTTCTGCCACATGATATCAAGCGGCTCAGAAATCAGTGGAGTAAGTTACTCTTCGGCAAAAAGGCATTGCCCGAGCAAGTCATCACTCTAAAGCCCACTCTTCCCATCCACCCACACATAAGCACACCCAACAGGTCATCTAGTTTGAAGATGATGAGCTAGTCACCCTGATCACACCGCACCTTAATTGTCACCCTTACAGGGAAGTACAGTACCTTATCGCTTACAACCTCCAACCCAAAGTCTTTATAATTTACGTTTCGGAAAATCTGCACAATCGATATAAACTAAATATCAACAAAAAAAAAAAAAAAAAAAAAAACCAAAACAACCAATAGGCTGCCAATTTGGGGGATATGAGCTTCGAGGGCAATGGGGATAAGTTGTTTTTGGCCTCAAGAGGATTGGGGAAGCAAATGCAAGCCCTACAAAGGCTGTTGTGGTAGGTTCCATAAGGTTGGAGGGCTGAGGATGGCAGGAGGTGGAGGAATAGGGGGGCTCGAGGGCTGCCCTATATATTGCAATGCTGGCCACGCACAGCGCCCATCCCCAGCCCACAAACCTCTTACAAACAACCTCCTTACGGACTCCTTTGCCTTCCCTCGTCCTTTGGAACCCAAACAAATCCACTCCCCTAATGCCTGCCAACTGCTCGACAAAATGTTACAACCACCATAACAATAAAACCAACTACATCTCCGCCAAATTCGCACAAATCAATCAAATTTCTCATCCATTAAAAAAAACAAGTAAAAAACGTAACATTTCTTCATCGGCGTCCTCATCCTCGCTTGAATTCTCGTCGGCGTCCTCATCCTCACCTGAATTCTCATCGACGTCCTCCTCTTCAAAATCGTTTTTCTATTCTTCTCTCTGCTCTTGTGTCGCCGTCGTCTCCTCTGCCTCTGGACCACCTTCACTCATCGGATGATCCACCGGAGCGTCTCTTTAACAGCCTTTGAACTGTCGTCGCCTCCGGAGTCTGGGATTTGGAGTGGGGTTAGGTTTTCCTTCTCTTTCTGAATATCAGCCATGATTTTGTATAAGGAAGCTTTAAGATTAAGTATTTGTTGGAATAGGGTACTTTCATTACCGAAAATGGCAAAGAAATCAAAGGTATTCGTCGATCGTTTTTTGGGTATTTGGTTTGATTAAGCGATTGAAGAGTGGGGGTCGTTTTTAATTTTTAAAATTTAAACAAACTTCTGTTAATTATATATTATCTACATATGTTTAAATTCTTTCATTTTAACTTATTTTACATGTTTAATGAATCATAAGTGTGCCACGTCAGTTTTTCTAAATTAAAAAGTATTTTCAAGGACAATTTTTTTAAATGTAAATTTGGGAGGTTCGGCGAGTTAAATTTCCTCCGAGTTCTTCTTTTGTGCCCCTTTTTCGCAATCAACACGCACTTGGAGACTCGAAACTGACACGAAGATGACGGAGGCAGTGATCAGAAACAAGCCAGGAATGGCTAGCGTGAAAGACATGCCCATCCTCCAGGACGGGCCGCCGCCGGGCGGGTTCCCTCCGGTCCGATACGCCCGTCGTATCCCCAACACGGGCCCCAGCGCCATGGCCATCTTTCTTGCTGCTTTCGGCGCTTTCTCTTATGGCATGTATCAGGTGGGCCAGGGCAACAAGATCCGTAGGTAAAGAACTCAGAAATTTTGTTCTACATTGCTTAAAAATCTATTCTTTTAGTTATTAGTGCTATATTATTGTTGCTTTTGTTGATCTGTGATATGGGTTTTGTTGATTTCTGTTTTTATTAAGTGGGTTCTGCTGCATAGGCTTTGGTTGTTTTAGAAATTGGGGCTGGGAGTTAGGATTTTAGGGTTGTTTTTAATTGATGTTGGATTAGATTATCTCATCACATGTTTCTCAGTGGCCCACTGACCTTAATTTTAGTGAAGCAGATAATTGACATGAATCATTTTTGGAAGAACTCTTCTGGATATTTTAACATTTGAGAAAACAATCAGTATTGAGTTGCTATCAGAATTAGAAAGGATAAGCCTGAAAATTGAACAACATTGATACTTCTTATTTTTAGGTAAGCAACACTAGGAAAAGAACAAAGTATTGTGCTCCATCCACTAAACCTCAAAAATAGCGCCTGAGGCTTCTGGGGAGTAACGGATGTTACATACAGTCTAGAGTCTAGAGGTTTCCTTTAACCAGAATGTCATATTTTATCATGCTTTCATTCACCATGTTTGTCGGAAGTAACTTTATCATTCTCATATTAGGGGTCTATAGTCACACCTGTTATAGTTAATAAAGGTATTCAATTGTTCAAACTGATAAATTGATTGAACCATGGAATTATTTCTCGGTCAAGATTAATGGTGCTTGAACTTACAGTATCCCCCTTAGGGAAATGCTCTGACGGGTTGAAGTACAGTCCTAGATATCTATCTCATGCTTTGAATAAAAAAGCAAAAGAAAATAAAGGTTTCTTGATGTTGTTTTTGAATCCCTCTTTGAACCCATCCTTGCAAGTGCCATGATCCAAGTGATTTGGCTGAAAAATTGACTGAACTTTTCACATTCATATGCTTTGAACCAAGAATTGGATTTTTAAAATGGTGCCAAATGGTGTTTGATGTTGCATTGGTGGATTGAAGAACTTGCAAATTTTTAATTATGTAATTTTTGAAGTTTGGTTCTAACATTTTGGTTAGAGAGCATTTTAATTTGGTGGAGTTTCTATCTTGTATGTCAAATTAGTTCTTAAGCAAATCAGTCAAGGGTGCTGGTACAGCTGATTTTCCTTGATGAAAATGGCCTTAATTTTCCTTATTTTAATTAACAACCTTTTCCTTTTATATATCTTATGGCTTTGCATTCATGTATCCGTTGAGTGTAAGGTGGAGCATTGTTCTGCATTATTGTTGTGACAAGAAAAGATGGTGGTTTTACCTTTGAGTCAAGGGCTCTAATGCACCTTCTAGATTTTGTTTCCTTTTCCTACACTCAGAGGTTTACCAAAAATAGGAACTTGAAGGTTTTTGTTTTTTCTCGAAATTTTTGTGAAACATGTGATAGTTGTTAAGAAAAAACAATGGGAACAAGAGGATGTTTCAAACTATTGGTTTGCCTTTTGGAAATTAAGTGAATACATATCTTTATACATCTGAGAGATGTATATTTGCTGTCAATATTCCAGGGTCATTGACAGCAAATGCACTTTGCTTATACATTTGAGAGATGTGCTCTAATATTATCTCTTCTTAGGTTTCATGTCTTAATATTGCTATATTCGTCAGCTTTTTGTTTTTCTATTCGATTATCCAAGAGTTGTTATGGAGACAGGGATTCGGAATGTTGAAAAGTACTAAGAAATTTGCTGCAATTTTATTCCACTATCAGAACATAGTTGAGTTGGTTAAGCAGCTTGAAAAGTAACCGTACAATATGCTTTTATTTTTGCAGGGCACTTAAGGAAGAAAAGTATGCAGCTCGCAGGGCAATATTGCCCATGCTTCAAGCTGAAGAAGATGAAAGGTAAATTTATGACATTTTCAAATTTCTTGTCTCCCACTTGTGCCTATTACGTTAACTACAAAACGTTTATATATGATTGCTGCTGTGCTTCTTGTTTAGGTTTGTCAAAGAGTGGAAGAAATATCTTGAATATGAAGCTGAAGTAATGAAGGATGTGCCTGGTTGGAAAGTTGGTGAAAGTGTCTACAACTCAGGTAAATGGATGCCCCCAGCAACTGGTGAACTCCGTCCTGAGGTGTGGTAATGATTTTTCAACCAAAGTTTCAGAGCTGGTTTATTATCTCTTCATGCAATTTTCTTGTGTTGCTTGGTGTAGCCCCCTTTTGAACGAAATAAAAATGTGCTGAAAGATTGGTTTACGTGTATTCAAAATAACATTAGTTTCTTCTTTTTACACCCTTGACATGATAATTTCCTCTGTTTCATTTAACTTGAAATCTGATACTCTATAGCAAGACTGTCTGTTCCCATGTTAAATGTTTGGCACGATATAACTGTTTTCAACATCAGCATAGAGGTGAATTCGTGGTTGGGGTATTTGAGTTCTATTCTTGCTGGTGAATTAATAAGATATCAACTTATGGAAGAATTTTTATTGTGACAATATATATTTCCCTTGATAGAACCTATTGGGGTTCATTGAGTTTTGTAAGTGGATAAGGTGACCACCCATTTGTTCCCCACATTCCTATGTGCAAATATTCTTCTTATAGTTTATTTATTTTGAGTAGAAAATTTGTTTTTCTTTATGCATTTTTATGTCTCATCCATTGAAGGTTAGATTATTTGTGCAGTATGTTGATAAACATAAAAAGATATGTGATGATACAATTCCTTAATCAGTGAAAGTATATGCTAGATTTGTTATGAGGCAACTAGAAAATTAGGAGAAATACCTTTTCCTAAGCTTGATGATGATAGATTTATTCATGAATGCTAAAAGTACGCAGGGATGGATTGTCATAGTATATGTTTCGAATGATCAACAACTAGTAATATTGTAGAAGAGTTGGAAGTATAGCGAAATCTCTAGAGATATTGTAGAAGTTGGGTTCTATCAATATTTTCACACCGACTTAGGGGGAGAAGATGATATTGAAGAGTGATTGCTGTTATTGTTGACCTTTGTAATCTCAGTACTGTTCGTCTGACACAGACTCTAAAACTATTATATAGAGGATGGAGAAGAAAAATGTTATGTTGGTGGGTTATTGTCCCTTTTCTTGTGTGGCAATAGAATCCATCCTCATTAACTAGCCCAAGGCAATTTCCAGTATCAAAATACAAGAAACCGACTCTTCATAGGTAAAAACATCCGACTCTTTTTTACTGAGCCCCATTGCCAGTGGCACCAAACAAAAATGAGTAGTCTCAAGGAAGTGCATACCAAATGAAAAATAAATTAACCTTTCATCCTAAGGGTATACTGTCCAAGATCATCATCGTTCGAATATCAGTGAATTACCAGAGGCCACTTATTGCTCTTAAATCCATATATTGATAATGTGAACCTTCAGTTTTACTCGAGCATTAATTGTTTTATATATATATATATATATATAAACTCATTGGCACTAAGTGTGAGTGAATGCAACACCTTTGGTAATTTCTCCTCTGATCACCCTATTGAAGCGGCCAATCCCACAGATATGGATATATCTGGTCAAACAAATTACATAATATCATAAATATTAGGGGCAATGTTTTGAAACCTGATTCGGGCAATGACCCGGTTAGGCGATTGGATCCCGAGTCGAGCAGTCGAATTGGTTCGATCAGCTGGACGAACCGGTTGACGCCATCATGTTGACGTGAGGATGATGACGCCAACAGGACAAAACAGTTTCTATGCTCTTTTTTCCCTTTTGCTTTCTCAGCCTCTCTCTGAACCTTCAAAATTTCATCCACAATCTAAATTTAAATATTCTGCATCTAAGAGTCCAATAATCTACAAAAGCACTTAAAATCTATAGGCCAACGACATACAAGTGAGAAACAAGTAACCCACTGCTAATTAAAAAATTAAAACAATAGGTAACTCACTACTATACCACCAAGTCGAGAGAGAATCGGTGCGGTCTGGGTTCCAAAATAGTGATTAGGGGTATTACTTGGCCCATACATGTTGTATACACATCTGATTGAACAAATTACATAGTATCATAAATAGCTATTGGGGTATTACCCATCCCTCAAGAGAGTTTACAAATAAATAAAGATGGTATCTTTCCCTATACTGAGATATACCCCTGAGATACACCTTGAAACAATGCCGAAGCAAACATAATATCGTTTCTAGACAGATTTATATGACAATAAATTAATTACGATACCCGAGAATCTGGCATGGTTACAAATGAAAGAACATAATTATTAATGTTTTTTTGATTAAAAACAGTAAACGTGTTTAAAGTAAACCCGATAATGGGTGTGATTAAACAGTTTCTTGCTGTGTCAACTTATAATACTAGAGAACAAGTCATTTATAGAGAGATTTATATAGCTATAGAATAATTGTTAGATATCCAAAAATTACATACTTACAAGTGAAAAAAAAAAAAAAACCATAATTTCTATGTATGTAATGCCAAACATTAAATATATTTAAAATAATTAACAATCAATGTAAATCCACGTACATCTGATTGCTCAAAAAATAGTCATAGAAATTCTGAAATTAGGTTTCGTTTACAGGAAACTAATTGATTAACATATTTGCTAGATTTTTTGAAAAATGTTATTCTAAAAATCTATTTTAAGTTGAGTTGAGTTGGATTAAATTGAATATGATAGAATTTTGAAAATGTGTTTGGTATAATATCTGAAAATTATATTAAAGTTAGATAAAATGTTGAATAGTTGTTTGGTACATTTTTTGAAAACATTTTCTGAAAATATTTAGATTATTTTTTAACCCTCTACATTTGTTAATTTAGCTAAACACCTCCCACAATAAAACTTTAAACATTAACTAAAACATCCTCCCAAAATCTGGTCGTCNTCAGGTATTACCCATCCCTCAAGAGAGTTTACAAATAAACAAAGATGGTATCTTTCCCTATACTGAGATATACCCCTGAGATACACCTTGAAACAATGCCGAAGCAAACATAATATCGTTTATAGACAGATTTATATGGCAATAAATTAATTACGATACCCGAGAATCTGGCATGGTTACAAATCAAAGAACATAATTATTAATGTTTTTTTGATTAAAAACAGTAAACGTGTTTAAATTAAACCCGATAATGGGTGTGATTAAACAGTTTCTTGCTGTGTCAACTTATAATACTAGAGAACAAGTCATTTATAGAGAGATTTATATAGCTATAGAATAATTGTTAGATATCCAAAAATTACATACTTACAAGTGAAAAAAAAAAAAAACCATAATTTCTATGTATGTAATGCCAAACATTAAATATATTTAAAATAATTAACAATCAATGTAAATCCACGTACATCTGATTGCTCAAAAAATAGTCATAGAAATTCTGAAATTAGGTTTCGTTTACAGGAAACTAATTGATTAACATAATATATTATGTTTGAAAATATAAGGCCTGTTTGCTAGATTATTTGAAAAATATTATTCTAAAAAGCTATTTTAAGTTGAGTTGAGTTAGATTAAATCGAATATGATAGAGTTTTGAGAATATGTTTGGTATAATATCTGAAAATTATATTAGAGTTAGATAAAATGCTGAATAGTTGTTTGGTAGATTTTTTGAAAACATTTTTTGAAAATATTATTATTTTTTAACCCTCTACATTTGTTAATTTAGCTAAACATCTCCCACGATAAAACTTTAAACATTAACTAAAACACCCTCCCAAAATCTGGTTGTCGTCAACGGCAATCTAGCCATCGTTAACAGTCAGATCAGGCCGATCATGCGTTGTTCTGTTGGCGGCAGTGGCGGCAGCGGCAACAGTCTTGAGTGGATTAATTTTCAGATTGGAAGGAGTAAAAGGTAATTGTTTTTAGTTGAAAAAATGTTTTGAATTAAATAGAATAAAATAATAGAAAACAAGTCTCCTTCTCTTTTCATTTTCAATAGAAAAAATCTTATTTTGATTTAGATTAATATTCAAAATATTGATCCGAATAAATAAACAAACATATATTTTGTTTTTTTTTTTTAATTCAAATAGGATAACATAAAAATGATTCAAAAGAATGAAACAAACAGGGGCATAATTTTTGTATGAGGGTTCGTTTTTAATAACAACCCAAATTTTAATTGACAAGGCCCCATGAAAATCTAATTAAAATAGTAGAGTAACTTTGCCTTCATTCATTAAATTTTTTATTTATTTCAATTGTTAACAATTAAAATAGCTTACACATCAAATGGCCAGTAGTACATCTTCACCCATTGATTTTGATCCTTGCTTAAATAGAATCCAGTCTCTTTAACAAGCCAAAAGCAATTCCCAGTGTCACTGCAGAGAGCAGCTTCAGTATCCATGGTGAAAACATCGATTCTCTTCTTCTTTGTGCCCCATTGCATGTCGCACCAGAAATAAGTAGGTGGTATAATCATGTGTACACCAAATTTAAACTTGAATTCACCTTTCATCCAAAGGGTATGCTCTCCGAGATCATCGTCATGTGAATAACAATGAATAATAAAAGGCTTTTCATTGCTCTTAAATCCATTGATTATGTGAACCTTGAAATAATGTCGAAAAAACTTGTCAACTTCTTCTGAAGAAGCTGGTGTTTGAGCCATGTGGATTGAAATTGATATTGATAGAACAACAATGAAAAGAAAATTTACCCCAGAGTAACTCATGCTTGAAGAGATTTTTGCAAAATTGGCTGGTTTTCTTGTATAGTATTTTAATGATTCCTTGAGAGATAATATATGGGCATGTAATAATTGCTAGTAAATGCTGGTTACAAGTATTAAGAACTTCATAATGTCTATTTGTTAACACTTCAATTATATCTAGAAAAATTCTCTTACCGTATGTTATAAGTCTTTCTTTTTATTATTCGTACATTAAATTTTAAAATTATATATTTTAAATGGTTGAATTTCATTCAAAATAGAAAGACGTGAATATTAGACTAGTGCATAGAATACGATTTTTTTCCCACCTTCTCTCTCAAAATTTCTCTCTTTCATGCACTCTTTTCATTATTTTCACGTCATATCTATGAAAATTTAAAATTTGTGCAATTATTATGTTGTATGTCTTTCTAATTTGAATAAATTTCAACCATAAAAAAAAAAAAAAAATTAATAGCTAAATTTAAAGTTACTATAGTAAAAATTATTAAGACCCCTTTATTAACTTAGTACTCCTTTCACTTTAAAAAAGAATGTCGGAAAAATTAATTAAAATATCATTTCAAGTTTGAAATGAATTAAATAACTATGAAGTTTGAAACTTTTTATTAAATGACTATTCGCTTAAGCGATATAAGCTTATCGCTTAAGTGATATAGACTTATCTCTTAAATGATATGTGTTAAATTACTTAAGCGATAAAGTTCATGGCTATTTAATTCCGCGATATATAAGAGAAAAATTTATAAGAAATAAATTATATATAGAGAATTGTCAAGTTAAACAATATTAGGTAGAGTAAACGATGTGTTCCCACCCAAAGATTAGCGAAAATCCAAGTTCGCACCCCTGATTTCATTTAATCCATATTCTCACCTTTAAATTAATACCGTGAATGATTTTTGGATTCTAACACAATATGGAAAGTGTTATTACCAAGCTACCCTTACAAAAGTTAGTAAATTATTTTTTAACCCCAAATAGATTTGGATTTTTCTAGCAGCCGCAAGGGAAAGGAAAATAGGGAGAAAAGACTCAGATTCGGTCAAAATGGACATAGGCAAGGCTAGGAGATGGATGGGTTTTGTCGGGGATGAGTGGGGGAAGGTAATGATGGTGACGGTGATGTCAAACGGCATCAGAATCTAGCTAGATCTAGATTTTTCCGACAATCACGAGGAAAGGGAAAATTGCAGATAAAAGGCTTAGATCCGGCCAAAATGGAGGCGAACGAGGTTGGGAGATGGATAGCTTTTGTCAGGGATGAGTGGGGGAGGCTAGTGGTGGTGGTGGTGGTGGTGGTGATGTCAAATGGCATCGAAATCAGACTAGATCTGGGTTTTTCGACAACTACGAGAAAGGGAAAATCGCGGATAAAAGGCTTAGATCTAGCCAAAATGGAGGCGGACGAGGCTGGGGGATGGATGGATTATGTTAGTGAGTGGGGGAAGCTAGTGGTGGTGGCGGTGCTATCAAACGACGCCAAAATCCGGCTAGATCTAGATTTTTCCGGTAGCCAAAAGGAAGGGGGAAATAGTGAAGAAAAAGCTTAGATCCGACCAAAATGGAGGCGGACGAGGCTGGGGGATGGATGGATTTTATCAGGGATGAGTGGGAGAAGCTAGTAGTGGTTGCGTGATGTCCAACAGGGACGAAATTCGGCCAAATCTAATTTTTGCGGCTGTCGTGAGGGAGAGGAGTGATGAGGGGTGCTTGTGAAAGAAATTTGAGATGTAAAGGGTTATGTTGAAATTTTTATTTGAGATTTAATGCAGTTCAAATTACCATTTTACCCTTTAAACGTTAAATTAAATGATTTTCTATTAATTTAAGGGTGGAAATTGGAATAAATGAAACTAGGGGTGGGAACTCAAATTGCGCTAATCTTTGGGTGGGAACATGTTTTCTCTATTAGGTATTATTTTATTTTAGATCTTTGTGGTATGATTTAATAAAATGATTAATTGGAAAATTATGTAAACTTGTACACATAAAATACAGTTTTTTATTTTTTTTATTTTCGACAAGCAGATAAATATAGTTTATTATTTGATATCTAAAAGCACTTGTTTTCAAGTCATTTATTGATGAAAAGCACTTTCTTACACACTAAATAATTACTTACCATTTTTAGGTTTTTACTATGTAACATAAAGAATAGTAATAATGTAATAAAATTAAAATTTGTTACATATTATCATCTATAGACAGATATTAACATCATAAATAGAGATTAATTGGACATTAATTGTGCATATACCGTATAACCTCTATAAATTAATACTCGATAGATTAATAACGTCTATTACAGTCCCGAATTGGGCTAGTAGGTTAAATTAATAATTTGGATAAATTAATAAAATAATACTTTTATGGAAAACCTTACATAACTTTGTGGTCCCATTCATATCATAAATAAATAATTTGTTAATTGACTATGATATTTTATTAAAATATGACTTTATTATTACTTGTTTTTTCTTGAAATTTAAATCTTGTTAAATCTCATCTCTAATTTTTCTCATTGCATCTAGAAGTTCTAGGGTTAAATTCTCGAATTAGAATAAAAATTATAAAGTATTGTTGATGCTTCGAATGCTTCCTTGCGCGCGCGCGTAACAGACTCCAAAGCTATTGTATCATCCTCAGCTTTGTCTGAATTAGGATTTTCAGTGATGTTAGCAATGATTTCTTCTAAAGTTGAAACTTGTGAACTTGCATCATTTTCACTAGGGTAATCCAAGAGGTAATTTGTATCCATTCTATCAGGATAACCTAAATCTTTGATTATTGTCTCAAGTTCATGAATGCCTTCTAAGGATTCATTTAAGTTCTCTGAGGCTATTTCTTCCACAGAACGAATTTTGCAATGTCGAAAACAATTTGCTATTGTCTTTGCCTGAACATGCATTGTCCAAGCTAAGACTGCAAGATTGATTGCAGCCAAAACATTTATTTTTTTCTGGATTTGTTTCCTCCAGTTCATAGCCCTCCAAAATTCTATGGTAAAATTGTCTACGATAATGCATCTTGAAAGCTCTTATTATCCCCCACATCACATGGTTGGATTTTTGATGTCATGTTGGGTGGCAGAAAAAAAAAAAAAATAGCTCAACATTTTGTAATCTTTCAATATTTTTTGGATGGGGTGGACAATTATCTATCACCAAGAGAATTTTTCTCCTACATATTTTTTTGACAAACCACCGAACATGTTCCTCAAAGAGCACCCCAATCATCCACAATCTTTTGTTGGCACGGTATTGACAATTCAAGTTGTTCATGTTTACATTCTTGAAGCAACGTGGGTTTGCATACTTTCCGATGATCCATAGAGGAATTTTTTCTGAGCTGTCCTCATTACAACAAACAACAATAGTAAGCCTTTCTTTGTCTTGTTTTTTTCCTTCAAGTTGTTNAAATGGTGGTGCATGTGATCCTTAGACTTGAGATCACCAGAGCGCCTTGTGCACCGATTGGTGCAGTTTGACACTAGCCTAACACAATTCTATTCAGAACTGTCAATACGGTGGTGATTGGCTGCATCGAGGAGTGTATCAAGACTATGGTGGATAGACAGAGGATTCATCACTCCCGGGTACAGGAGAAGTTATCTCACGGCGTAATTCAGTATATGGCAATGACACTAAAACAGTGGCCACAGTGGGATTGAGTTGTTGCTCTATCCAGATTATAATACAAGTCATTAGTCCAGAAACTGAATACATAATATCGAGAGTAACCGAAGGTTGACCCTATTTCTATGCCTTCGTCTCGTCGAGATAACGTATGATGAAAGGATCGAATTGTGTAGTAACCATATCATTGACAGGTAGCTACTTTGCTGAATCTGAATTGGCATGCTGTCGTAGGCACCTAGAATTAAAACCTAAAAACACATGTAGTAGTGTGAGTCAGGATCATTCCCACGGAGAGTGTCTAGTCGAATTTAATGTTACGTGAACCAGTGGGAAGGGGGGGGGGGGGTTTGAGTTAAACAGAAACAAACAATTTCAGGAAAACAACAATTCAAATTAATCAATCAATCAAAATAATAAACCTTGGTCTAAGTCAAATCCACCATCAGAATATTACAACTGATCATTGATGCACCGTTGGAACTATTGTCCTATCTCTCCTTAGTTGTAATTAATTAGGAAACAAGCGATCTAATTAATCTTACTACTAAACAACCCTAGACAAGTGCTAAAGATTTAATCTAGTGGCAGTCTTAAGACCTAGAGAGATCGATGAAGCTAAACAACACAAACACAAGTGGTTGTATTGTAACGCCCCACTTGAGGTACATAGTTAAGATTTGCTGTATTTCTTAAATGTTCATTGATTCAGCTTCAATTGAGTTTGTATGTTGTCATGGTTGGTTGGTTGGCCTTTAATTGAAATGGTATGTTGAGTTGGTTGAGTGTTTGCCTTGAAATTGGTTGAGACTTGAAGAATCTTGGAATTACAATCTTCGCTGGGGCGAAGAATAGTCTTCGCCGCGGCGACATTGGCTTTTGTGTTTGACGGTGTCGATTCTGGAATGTTTCACTGGGGCGATGGAAATTTCTTCGCCGTGGCGAAGGGATAGCAGAAAAGTTTAATTAAGTTTCTAGAGAATTCTCTATAGGGGTAAAATGACCATTCTACCCCTAATTAGCAGGAAAAGTGGGGAGTGAAATGTAAGAAAATTTTATGGAGAATGTGTTGGAGTTAGGGGAGTAATTGTAAGGAATTAAAGGATAAGAATGGAATTTCCAAGAAATAGCAAAGGCAAAATGGGAATACTTGTATGTAAATTGAGTTAACAAGGGATTAAGTGTAGTAAACCCTTCATTTCACCCATTTCCACCACCATTCTCATTCTCTATTTTCTTTCAATCCTCCACTCAATCTTCCAAGATTTCTACGGAGTTTTAGGGAACTTTTAGGTAGTT